CTGCCCTTGGCCCACTCTCAGCTCACCTCTGCAGTATTTTCTTTGTGGATTCCAAGACTAGAAACTTGTCTTTTAAATTAAAGCTGAGATCAATGCTGTGACCTGACTCCAGGAGCTGGGGCTTTGGGAGGTGGCAATAAGTGTGCTACAGAGATCTACCCACCTCCAACTTAAGTGGCAGCCAGCTGGAGACCACAGGCACAGGGAGAGAAGAGGCCACCAGGTGTTTCCATCATTCCTGGTGGGGACTGGACTGGAGGCTCCCCACTTCCTGCTGGGCTCCAGGAGATGCAGCCCCAGGCAGGAGCTGGGGGGAGCTGGGACAGAGGCTGTGGCTGCTAGCCCTTCCTGCCCTGTCACAGGAGGGCTGGTGCTGGCAGAGCCCCACAGCAGCATTGTTTCTGGGGATCCCCATGCTCTGCCACAGCCCTGTCCCTCCTCAGGGGGCCCTTCCAAACCCTCCTCCAGCGGGACTGGGGGACAGAGCCAGCCTACCCCCCTCACCCCAGCCCCACAGGTGGGTGGGCTCCCTCCAGGGCTGCCAGCAGGCACCTACAAGCAGGACAGGAGGGCGGTGAGAGGCAGCTCCTTCTCCCCCAGCAGCGTGTCCCGCTTAAGGCTGCTGCCCTTGTTGACCACCTTGAGCTTCAGGGACATCTTCCTGGCATGGCCGGGGCCCAGCCCATCGAAGAAGAAGTCCTCGTTGAAGATGGGGTTGCGGCTGTTCTTGACAATGGTGCTGCGCTGCTTCTGCAGCTTCCCAGGGTTGAGGCACAGCGAGACGCAGCAGTTGATGCTGCGCAGGTCGACGAGGGCATCGTAGAGGTCCTCGGCAGAGACGAGGCGCACGCGCAGCCGGGCGTTGGAGGGGTCATACTCGGCAGCCAGGCGCAGGCTCCCCCCCCGGCTCAGCCGCAGGCTGTGCTCCCGGTCCCGGCCCGGCGGCAGGTCCAGGGGCAACAGGGCTGTGGGCGGCTGTGCTCCGGCCGGGGTGCTCCTGGCACGGCGCTGAGCGCTGGGGCTGGTGTCGGCTGAGCTGTCGTCGGTAGACAGTGAGCTGTTGCGGGCCACCGACTGCTTCAGCTTGATGACCTTGGACTGGCTCTCCTGGCTGAAAAGCTTCAACAGGGAGACGGAGCGGGAGAGCAGTGGGGAGCCAAAGGGCGAGGATTCGGCGGAGGAGCACGTGTCGCTCTCACCGCCGCTGAAGTAGCGGCCAGGGTGCATGAGGGCTGCGCCCAGGTCGGCAGGTCCCCGGGGGCTGCTCTCGCCGTTGAGCTTGGCTCTGCGCTGGGCGCTGGGAGAGGTGACAGGCGAGGGGCAGAGGCTGCTGTGCTCGCTGTGGAAGAGCGACTCTTTGCGCCGCGTGTGGGGGCTCTCCATCAGCGTGGCAAAGCCATAGGAGGTCTGTGCCTTGGGCACATAGGGCAGCGACATGGCCGTCTGTGCCTGCGGGTCTACGTTGGTGCCGCAGCTCCCCTCGGCCGTCCAGTCCTCTGCGGTCTCGATCTGGATGATGTGCCGGCCGGCCGCCCGGGACCGGGACCGGCTGGACGGGCGGGGACTGCGCGGGGGCTTGCGCCCGGCCAGGTCCTGCTCTGAGACTGAGGAGCCCAGGGCAGCCGCCGCGGGGAGCTCGGAGCCCTCGGCCTCCGCGGGCGCCGCGCTCAGCTTGGGCGGGATGAAGAAGTCGGGGATCTTGTCGGGGGTGAGGACGTTGCTGTAGCGGGACCCCCGCGGGGATTCTTCCGGCCCCGCTCCCCGAGATCCACCGTTCTCCGCCACCCCCCGCAGCCGCTCCAGAAGCCACATCTTGCTGCCAGGTGTGGGGCTGCAAGAGACCCAAGGGGCAACGCTGTCACCGGGGGCCGGGCACCGGCAGGGGCAGGATGGAGCCGGCAGCCCCGGCAGCGAGCAGCGGCAGCGAGAGAACCGGACCCGGCAGCCCGGGGGGACGGGACAAGGACGGGAAGTAACTGGCCGCGTCGAGGAACACGGAAACCCGCCAACCCGGGAAGGAGTGGGAAGAAACCGACCGCGCAGAGCGGGGGTCGGAGACCCGGGGAACGGGGACCCGGCGGCGCCGAGCGATGCGATGGGACGGGACAGACGCGAAGCGACCCGACGCCTGGACCAACCGACCGACTGACCGACCGACCGGCGCCGTCGCGAGCGGGACTTGCCGGGAACCGCCGCACCGGGAGGCGAGCCGCCGCCGCCACCTGGCAGCCCGGGCGGGGCGGGCGCGGACCGCGTCTTTTATAGAGCTCCCCGTCCGCGCCGCCCCGTAATCCTCACAGAGTGCGGCGCCCCAACATTTTCGCCGCGCCGCTGCCTGGCTGGACCGAGCAGGATCGGGACCGCGAGCCCTGGGATGCTGATGTCCGCGACCCTGCAGAACCTGGCCGTCCGCCCACGGGAGTGTCGGGGTTGGGATGGGGCGGGAGCGGAATCCGACGGCGTCGCTCCGTGGCTCCCCGCGGCGCCCCCCGTCCGAAGCGCCCGGGACCGGGGCCGAGGCCGTCGTTCTCCTCTGGGAGCAGTCGTTTCCCGCTCCGAGCTCTTGGGCTCAAAGCACTGAACGAAACCAGCAGCGGCTCGGGGATGAGGGGTTGCCGAGAGCATTAAGTGGCTCAATATCGCGCTGGAGGAGCGGGGGGCAGCGCCACATGTCACAGGCCCCTGTGTCACACAGCCCACCGGCCCCTGGAGGAATGCGGTTGTAGCTGGGGACAGTGGGGTAAGACGTCAGGAGGATCCACGGAGCATCACCGCATCCCCGGTGCTGACGCGGGGATGGGAGACTCAACCAGGTGATCAGCCCCAGCCCCAATCCCGCGGGGATTTACAGCCCTGGGGACAGGGATGCACCGAGCAGGACAGTGGCACGGAAGGGGCCAGCAGCTGTTCCTTTCTGGCTGCTCCCCTGTGGATACCGTCAGGCCGCCGGGAAGCACCATCATTCCACAGCGGTGCAGGGCTGGAAATGATGGCCAGGAAGGAGAGCCTGGAGCGATGAGCGCCTTCCGCAGGGGCTGCTGAGGGAGGTCTCGGCTCCCTCTGCATTCCCACTTGGAGATGGTAAAAAGAAGCATCCAGCCGTGCCCAGCCAGATCGAGGGCTGGGATGTTTCGGGGACAGCAGCAGGAAAGGGGGACGTGGTATTCTGGTTGGACCCTGGGCTCTGCACTGCAGGGTGCTGAGCCGGGTCCTGTTGTGGGGGGAGGGCAGATGGAGTCCGCAGGAGGAGGATGAGGCTCACGGAAGGGGCGGCTGGTGAACAAAAGGCCGATGTTTGCTTTTCCTCCACCCTGCAAACCGGTGGGTAAACAAGGTGCAGAAATGGTTGAGTTCCCTTGAGATAACAAAGAGCGCTGGAGCTGGGCGAGCTCTGCCAGCACGACTCGAGGCCAGTGCCTGTGGGGCACGGAGGGGAGCAGAGTGCTGGGAGCTGCCTGACTGCGGACTGGCAGGGCTGGGGACGGAGCCGGTGGAGCCGGCAGTGTGCTACCACCTGCTGGAAGCCGGGAAGGAGAGAATCCTTCTATGGGAAGGGGCTTGTGCCAGGACGCTCTGGAAAACCAAACCAAGGAGTGCCTGTTGCTGGTACATTTGAGACAGGTGGAGAGACCGTTGGTCGTCGAGATCCCCAAGGTCCTGGGAGAGCAAGGAGGCCACATCCCTCTTCAGCCGCTCCTCTGTGTCTTCCAAACCTTCCCAAAATAGCTCAGCCTCCCCATCATCACAGGCTGAAGAAGCAGCAGCCCTACAACCCAGCTGTGGGGGTCACAGAGCCACCTGCGCCCACGAGCACCACACCCCACCCTCAACCAAAGTGGTTAAACCCCTAAAACAAACCCCCTCCTAGCCCTTCATTCCTTCAGGGCAGCACCCCAGGGTCTGCTGGGCCAGGCAGTGCCAGCGGCAGCCAGTGAACCACATGGGCTTGTTCTCCAGCAGCAAAAGAAGAGAGCTGGGACCCTCACTGCCTTTTCCTGCCCTTCTATTGAGGGAACAGTGCAATTATCTTTGCAGATGCATCACCATATGACAAAAAATAGTAGCTGAGATAGAAGCGCCACGTCCCCGCAGAATCCAACTATCAATGGAAAATTACGCATTCATTACTGGGCTTTATTTAGGGGCTTATTTTATTCATTGGCTCAGCCAAAACTGGCCAGCATGGCTGCCTTGTCTGGTGAGGGCTGTTCCCTCAGCAAGGGGCTGAGGGTGCTGGGGTGACCCTGCTCCCCAAGGTGGGTGCCCGTGGCAGCACCAGGCACACAGGGCAGAGCCAGGACAGGCCACCAGCTGCTGGGAGTGGTGCTGGACCCAGCAGGTGGCTGCTGCCCACCTGGAGCACAGGACCTGCAGTGAGGCCCACCCAGGACTCTTGCTCCACTGGCTGCCACATTAACCAGTGGGTGACAGCTTGGCTCTGTGCCACTTGGAGCTGGCCTGGCTGTGGCAGGAGGCCCAGAGGTGGGCAGCCACATGCTGCCCCAGGCGGAGGCAGGAGGGGAGCCAGCAGGGCAGGGAGCTGCCAGCTGCAAGGAGGAGAATGCGGTGCAGGACCAGCCCGGGGTGCCAAAGCCCACTCCGAAGCCAGGGGGACAGTGGGTGATCCACGGGGGACAGGGTGACCCAGGGGGGCAGAGAGAGATGTGACTGGACAGGACAGGTCAGCCAAGGTGGGACCAGGCAGGCACTGGTGGTGATGGAGACCTGTCCCAGCACCATGCCCGGGGGTGGCACGAACCACCTGAGTGCTTTGCTCATTTCCAGGTTTAGTTACAAATGCATTCCAAACCATGAACTCGCACTGAGCACCAGGTACAGGGGGGAAGGGGCTGTGTGTGACATAAAAACCTGCCAAAGCCCCAAGCAGCCAGGGGGTCTTCATGGACCATGGGATACCTCTGCTCCCCAGCAGCCCCAGCCCTCCAAGGCAGTGCCAGCAGCTCAGCCCTGCTTCCAGGGGATGTTTGTGCCTGGCCAAGCCGGAGGCTACAATGATTCCCACCAGCCCTCGTCCCAGTGCTGGGACAAGCAGGGGCAGCCCTGCCAAAGATGGGTTCAGGCTCCGTTCCTCCTGCTGAGGCTGCCCACCAGTTCCCACCCTGACAGTGTTTTGCCTGCACACGTGGAATTAAATGTCTTTTTGTCTGGCTGGGCAAGGGGCTCCGTGTGGCTGATGGAGGTAGGCAGCAGCCGGGGGGGACTCACAGGGCCAGGGACTGCAAGACCCCTCTGGGGAGGAAGATGGGGAGCCTGACCCCAGACTGCAGAGGCCAGGTACAACCGGGGGAGGGCAGCACAGAGGGACTGCAGCTTTGCCCCAGGGCTTGGGCGAGTCCAGTGCCAGGGGAGCAGATCAGGGACGTCACTGCTTCCTCTGTACAACCTGGCGGAGGTGCAGCTCGCTCTCCGCTGCCACAATGGGCTGCTCGTTCTGCCGGTGGTGGCTGATGAGGTGGCTGATGCTCTCAAACAGCACATCCTTGGTCCTTACCTGGGGTTGGGGCACAGCGGTCCTGAACTCAGGAGACCTGCCTTGCACTCAGCATCCCCTTGCAACCCCTGTGCCTGACCACACCTGCAGTCCGTGTTCCACACCACCCACCCCATGCCCTGCCCCTACCCCGGTCCCAATCACCCACCCTGGGCCCTGCCCTCACCCCCATGCCCTGCCCTCACCACTCCCTCAGGGTCCACCAGCAGAAGATGCTTGGGCTGCCCGCTGTGCATGCCGGTCAGGACGTACTGCCCCGGGTTGGTGAGACTGTCCCGCACCAGGAAGTCCCCGTCCATCTGCAGGAGCCTCTCAGCATCCCGTCGGCTCATCTTCCCGTGGTACCAGGGCTCCCGCCGAAGCTGCTCCTCCGTGGGGGCAATGGGGGCCTTCCGCGTGGGGGGGCTCGGCCACTGGTCCTCGATGGGGGGGCTGGTGCCACCCCCTGCAAGGCACTCATGGAGCTTCAGGGCATCCTCGAAAGGCCCTGCAGGAGCCAGGGGGTGCAGGGTGTCACCCCTGGGGCACAAGGCAGGGCTAGGGTGTGGTGAGGACAGGCCCTGGCTCACAGCCCCCCAGTGCTCTGCAGGGCACTGCTCTGGACTCGGCCAGTGCCAGCACCTCTAGGGCTGTGGCAGGTGGGCTGGGCAGCTGACAGCACAGCTCAGCCTCCAGCAGCAGCCTCCATGGTGCAGTGGCTTACTCATGTCAAAGAGGTCCTTTCTGGGGCTCTCCTCTGTCACTCCGTGAGCCGTTGCCTCCGGCTCCCAGGCGTCCAGGCTCTGCGTGTTCACGTACATGTGCTCCTCATAGTCCCGTGGCCCCAGGGAATGGCCATCTGCCTGCAGGTACCCGTCGCAGGGCTGGCCTGGGAGGATGGGCATCACTGCTGGCCAGGACTGGGCAGAGCCATGGGGACCCCCCCCGACTTATGGCTTCCCCCCCCAGCAGTACCCACCCTGGTTCTCCAGGTCCCAGGGTGGCCCCGGCTGGCCATTAGGGTCTCGCCTGGCTGCAAACCCGCCCTGGGAAAGGAGACAGTGAGGGTGTTGGGGAGACCCTGCCTGGGACCCCCACAGCGGGGCCAGCAGTGGCCCTGGGGGCTCACCTGGTTGGAGGGGACAGAGCTGGAGGGCTGAGTGTGGACGTGACCCAGGACTGTGCCGTGACGGAGCCGGGAGTCAATCAGCCCCCCCAGTGGGGGCTCCTTCCCTGGGATGCTGTTGTAGTAGTCGTGCTCGGCCACCTCCTCGTCCTCCCCCCAGGCCGACTCCTCAGCACCCAGTGCCCTGCAGGAGGGACGGTGAGCTGGGGACACTCTGCCTGGTTCAGACCCTCCCCACATCCAGCAGCGACAGGGGCTCCCAGAGCCACCTCCAGCCAGGGGATGTACCCGGAACAGGGGCTGTAGCAGGGCCCCTCATCCCCCATACCTGTCTGGGGGTATCACCACCTTGGGGGGGCTGTGCAGGTACTGCTTGAAGCGCAGCTCAAAGGCCTGTCCCACTGTGCTGATGACGCTCTGTGCCAGCCCCTCACAGCACTCCAGGATGTGGCAGGCTGCAGACAGACAGGCTTGAGTGGTTCCCTCACACTCCTATTGCCCCTCTGGGCCCCCCTGAGCCCCTCTTCATGCTCCCCACAAGGGATCTCCTTCTCCAGCCTTCACCCCCCAACGCATCCCTCCTCTTCCACAAAGCTCCCGGGTGTGGGGGCCAGAGTCACCTCTCTGGTTGATGGGGTCCTTGGCAACGTAGGCGACATAGTCCGTGGTGTCCTGGGGGCACAGAGGGAGCTCAGGGGCCATGTCCTGCTGCTGCATGGGGAGTGGGGCTGGGGGCGCTGGGGAGAGGGGACATTTCGGCCCCAGCCCCACATCCTGACCCAGGGCCAGGCTGCCCTGCACTTGGCTCAGCCACGGGACAGGCAGCCCCTGTCCCCACCGCCCTGGGGGGCTGCAGCCAGGGGAGTGCTGAGGTATGTGTGCCTCACCAGGTCCCCACCGGAGGCGAAGGAGATGGACTGCATGTGGTGGTTAGCGATGATCTGTGTGGGAGACATGGCCCGGGGGGGCATTAGCACAGGGGCCACCAGCCCCCAGCTCACAGGCTGGGAGGCAGCAGGACCATGTGCCCAGGAACACTGTCACCTGGCGTGTGGTGGGGATCATGAGGTTCAGCCCATCAACGGAGATGTTGACAGCGATGCTCATGCCAGCAAAGCGCAGGTTGCTCTTGCCCAGGATGGAGAACAGGGCTTTGTTAGGAGCCTGATAGGGGAGAAGACGGTGGGGGTGATGCAGCCCATCAGGACCAGGCTTCCTGGGGTGAATGAGAAAAAGAGGGGTGCCCCAAGAGACCCCAGACCCACACACTGGGCAGGCACCCTCAGTGCCCTGTCCCACAGCCTCAGTTTGCCCCAGGGAGGGACAAGCTGAGTGGAAACTTACCTTCTTCTTCCAGATGCCCTTCACACCTGGCACCGCCTCATACAGTCTGTTGATGGCTTCCCTGCAGTGGACAGCCCCCGGTCTGGTCACTGCTCCAGACCCCTGGCTCTTCCCAGCTGCCTCCCCCCACACGCACGGCTCTGTGGGCTCTGGAGGCTTGACCCCCACAGCCTCAGGTGCTGCAGCCTCCTGGCAGTGCTGCCCCACGTCACGGCCTGCAGTACGTAATCCTGGCAGGGGCCACCTCCCTTCTCCTCTTTCCACCCATTGATCTATGGCAGTGCCCTTCGCCTGTGTCCCTGCATGCAGGTGGGTCCTGTGGGGCAGGGCTCCCCCAGACCCACATCTGTCTCTCCACAGGGCCCTGGGGAGGGGGAGCACCCAGGCCCACCGGGGGCTTTGGGTGGCACTGGGGGATGGGAGAGTGGGACTGTGGGGCCGTACCTGGTGACCTGTGTCCGGGTGTTGAAGTCGAGGGACCTCATGGAGCGCAGCACTTCAATGCACCCCATGTACTGCGGGGGGTGCACGGTCAGAGCAGCCCAGGGCAGGCAGTGGAGAGGAGAGAGACTGGGTGTCAGCGAGAAGGGCTCCTTCCACACCAGCTCCGGGGCTCACAGAGCGGCCTTTCATCCCCTGCCCCAAAATGCCCCATCACATGCCCAGACCCCACGCTGAGACCCCACAAACTCATCTGTGTGCTACAGCTTGTGATGCCTCGTAGGGGTTCACTGTGGCAGGGTCTCGAGGCAGG